AACTCCAAGACATAAACTTAAAATGTGTCAAAAAAGGCAACTGGTCAGGCTTTAGGGGTGCATTTAGACCAAAATGCAACTAAAAGACATCCTCATTCCTTCGTCCAAGTTTATCATTCTGTACTAGCAAGAACTTTGAATCCACAACCAGAACCCTACGAGCTGGGCCCCAGTCCCGCTACACAGGGTATGAGCAGCCCACCCACACTCCATCTGCAGACAACAATGAGTCGGAAACCTGGAGGCACAGTAGTGCTCCTCCAGAAGGACTTCAGAAAAATGCTTTATGGACTCATTACTCTCGTGGGTAGGCTAGCAGAGCCAGAGCTAGAAGGGGTTCACACCACCAAGTGAACAGATACCTTATTCTTATCAGCAGCCATTCCAAAATCTGCACATCTGTGTTCCACAAACATGTCGCTCTCAACAAAGCTGCCAGGATCCACCAGGAGACTGATCCGCTCCCTGGCAGTTAGCTTTCCCTGAAATGCAACAAAGATCACTCAGTGATGTCATCATAGACAGTTAGTAAGCCAAGTAAGGGGTGTTCATGGGAGGACCAAAGGACAGGTTTTGCCCCTTCACCCCAATGCAAAAGCCTCCATTCTGTCCAACCTGCCCAAGGCAGACAGGTGTTATTAGCAGACTTCAGCCAGTAAGAAAATCAGAGCAGACAGGGTGCTCCAGAAACCACCCAACTGTGGAAGCTAAATAAGGAAACGGGAAGAAGAAAAGTGGAAAGAAGTGGGGGAAAGGAGAACCTGACCCTGAAATAAGGTAACTAGTTCCACAAACACTTACTGGAGACCTAAGGAAGTAGAAAATTAAAGCAGGCTTAGTGAAGGGGCTGAGACTACACCCCCAGATTCATAGGTTCTTTCTAGGGAAGCCTACAGAAGCACACCTCACTAGGGCCCAACCCCTCTCTCCTGCTCCCAGCCCACCCACCCCACAGGACACACTACTTCCTGGTTCTTCTCTTGCCTCCTGTATGGGCTTCTCCTTTTCTTCCTACTATCCTACATTGGTGGTCCTGCTTAGGGACCCCACACCTGACAGTTACACTATTACACAGAGATGACCCCAGGGAGTGGCTGAGTAGAAAAGGAGTGGGACAGAGAGTGCTATAGAGCTCATTCAAGAAGAGTAAAAAAATGCTTCTTGGAGATAAGGTTGGAGCCCTCAATCTATCAAGAGTCTCCACTGCTTGGACTTCCAGGCCCTTGGTCTGAGCCAAAAACCCTTGCCCACTGTTTTCCCTCACCCTCCCCCACCAAACACCTCAAATTGGCTATTTTCTTCTCGTTAGAAAAGTAGCCAAAGCCAGTGAGGTTGTGTTAAGACAAACAGGTAATCCTATATACACTGTTGGGTAAAGCAGAATAAGTTTGGGGGAAAGCAATTTGGCAACACAGGGAATTTTTAAAATATTTATACCCTTTGGCCCACTAGTTGCACTTCTGGGAAACCTACTGTATGGAAATAGTCCAAAAATTGTTTAAAAGGGGGGTGGAGTAGGGGATTTAAATCAAGGCTGCATCCTGACTGCCTAAACAAGCTCTGGCAAAAGAAAAATGACTTCTGGAGTCTGCATCTAAACCCTGTAGGATCTGCCTGGGAAGGAGTGGAGTGATGTTCCAGGGAGGAACTGATCAACAGACTCCCACAGAAAGAGCACAAGAGCACTGACAGGCCTTTCCAGAGGATTATCTAACGTTTCCCACGCCCCTGACAGAGCCACCCCAGGGGAGGGAGGGAAAGCACTCCTGGCACCACACATCATCAACCCAATTTACACTTCACTCCCAAGTGTCCAGAAGGAACTGTCACTTTCCCTTGTCAAATGGGAATTTATGACATCTAACACTTGACTTAAAGAAAGGGCTGTTCAAATCTTCTCACGGAAGACCCCAGCCCTCCACCCAGTCGCCTCTCCCACGCTTGTGAGTCGTGCCTGAGCGCCCCCTTCACCTGTAAGAGTTCCACTCCTGCACCTTTCATTGGTTATTTAACTCGTCCAGCATATCGGTTCAGGCTCACCCACGAGTCAGGGATGCTCTCAGCAAGGCTGGTTTCAAGTCCGGGCTCACCTCTCTGAGCCTCAGTTTCTTCCGCTGCTAAAGGGACCACCCAACTTATCTCCCACGGCCAACAGCCTCAAAACCCGGGCGGTGGGTGGCAGTGCCTCAGCTGCTCACTCCAGTCAAATATCAAGAGTAGTCTGCGCACTCCCAGAAAGGCCACCTGATTCCCACGAGTGCCTGTTCTACCCAGCAGGTCGATGCACGAGGAGACACCAAGGTCGAC